TTTTAGTCTTATTTAGTAGGTTTTTTTAATAAAAATTCATAAAACAAGGTAGGGAATAACTTTATTATGAGAGAGAGACAAATAGAGTACAATTTTGTTCTTTTAGTGAGATTTAGAAATGGAATATTACGTTCATCTCATGGTTACTCTTCTTGAAAGTCTTGATAAGTTGGGGTGATCAATTGTTATTGCCCCACAATTTACTCTCTCAATGTGGAATATAATTGAGACAAGATAAAAGTATTATCTATCAATAAATTTCTAGCTCTACTACAAAGTTAATGGCCAAAACAATTGAGGATATTTCACTAGGGAATTGCTTAGCTTGTTGGAAGACTTTTTTGAACATGGTTGTGTGTTTCATTTTTCCCTTGTTGCTCCATGAATCTTTCATATGTAGTCATGTTAAAACCAAACTCGATACATACATATGATAACATAAACACTTTAGAAATATAGAATGTGACGTTTAATTTGAACAAAGAAACACTAATAACCACTATTATATCCAAGGACTAAATAAAAAACATCATAATACACACTTGTACTAGACCCATGATTTAGTTAAGATGTTATTACATTTAATAAAAAAAACATAAATACCCTAAACACCCCCAACCTCAGTCAACCCCCTCATTGAGTCGGGCGATTCAGAAACTGGGAACACCACCTTGTCGTACATTACCCCACCAACAACGCCACCAATCAACGGCCCGATCCAATACACCGCTTGGTTCTGGAAGCTTCCACCAACCAAGCCGGTCCCGAACGCGTAAGCCGGATTCATTGCCCCGCCCGTGAACGGCCCGGACGCCAGAACGTTCGCGCCCGCAATCAGACCGATCGCCAGCGGGCCCGCCGCGCTAACGGCGCCCCTTCTGGCGTCGCCCGCCGCGTACACAGTGTACACCAAAGCAAATGTCATCACCCCCTCCAGTATTGATGCCCCGAATCCCGTCATTTCTTGCGGGATCTCAAGCAATGGTACATGCTGTAACACCATTTCATAATAAAAGACCAAAATTAGTAAAAGTATGATAATTTGATATTAGCAAATATTATTAAAAATAATATTCCTTCAGTCTCTAAAAACACTCTTTTTTCATTTTTTGCACACCCATAAAATGCTTCTATACCATCTAAAATATCTAAAACACACTGAACGTCTGCCGACTCTGCCCATAATAAAAGAGAAATATATGATGAATCTTAGACATTATAAATATCTAATATAAAAGTGTATTTGAGAATGCCTAATATAAAAAATGAAATGGATATTTTTTTAAAGACGGAGGAATTACATAAAAATATTTTTAATATCAATAATTTAATATTGTTTCACTTTTTTAGTTCATTGTAAATTTTTATCTATAGTTAAAATTTATTTGTTTGAAAGTTGTACGTTAACTTTTTTTTGAATTGATCAACAATAAAATTTAACTTCCAAGACTTTTAGGTCAACAAAGGTCTAATGACGGAACTAATTAATTTAACCAAATGCAATTTAATTAGGCAAAGAATTAAATTAAACGAAGGAATTATTAATTGTTGAATTAATAAATGAATGAATGAAATTGAAAAAACTACCTGTTGAACAGTGGTGACTTTTAAGACGAGGCAAGCCATGACGGAGCCAAGAAGTTGTGACGTCCAGTAAAAGACGGCCACGGAGATGCTGACGTGGCCGCACACGGCCCTAGCCATAGTGACGGCCGGATTCACGTGGCCGCCGGAGACACCAACCGAAATGTAAACCGCCACCGTCAAAGCAAAGGCATTCGCAACTGCCGTCCCCACCAGGCTCGCCGGATCCGCCTCCGCCTCCGGCGACATTTTCCCTACCCAAAAAAAAAATCATTATTGACCTTTAATTACTTTGAAACGTACAAAAAAAAATGTAGAATTTATTTAATTCAAAAATTTGTACATGGCCAAAAAAATGTAGAAAGAGGGGATGGACTTACGGGAGGCCATGGTGGACCCCGCGGCGGCGAAGACGAAGAAGAAGGTGGAGAGGAACTCGGCGAGGTAGGCGCGGAGGGTGTCGGGGTTGACGCAGTCTTTGAGGCCGGAGCGAATGGAAGCCATTGAGAGGGAGTTGTAGTGAGATGTCCAATTGAAGTTGTTGGAGAACACTCTATTATTACTAGTGTTCATAGGATTGATTGCTGTTCTTTATTATTCTTAATCTCTCCGAATTGGTTCTGTTTGGTCGAAACAGTTTTTTTTTTTTATTATTCTTTTGAAACTTCCTCAGATAAATAGGGAGTTGCGAGGTTTCGGTTAGCAATTGCAACCCATTAGTGGAGAGGTTTGAATGGGGCGGATTCAAAAAGTTAACCGCCAACCCACGTGGCATTCGATGATTGGATGCATCGTGGAGATGTGTTGGGCTGGATGTTTAAGGTGGGCTTTGATTACATCTTCGATCGAGACTCTTCGGCCCAGTTACTTGTTTCGAAAAAGTGGCCCATAAAATTCATTTATATCGTCTCAAATGCCAAAAAACTTTCAAAACCATTTCTACCCATAATAAAGTTTAAATATAGGAAATTTAAGGCATTTTATATGTGAGTAGAAGTATTTTTGGGATAAACAAATAATGAAAGGTAACCTTCATTTTGAGAAGGAGGAAGTATATGTGTATAACTCTAATCGTTTCATAATATTCATTTAGTTTAATCTCTTTTTTGGATCCCAAACTTTAAACATCAATTACAATAAATTTGTGTTATATATATTACTTTGTATACAATTAAATAAATCATTAATTTTTTTAGAAATGAATCTAATAAAGGTTTTTTTAGAAATACATGGAGTACAATACAAAAGACCTCGTGTTACTAAAGTCCAAGTGCTGCTATACATGGAAAACATTTGATATACTTCAAGAAAATAAACTTCTATACAAGTACAATCCTTGTAGACTTAAGAAGCTATTCAAAATAATAAAAACTACTAAAAACTCCGTAATAAAAATTAACAATCTTACAAAGATTATTGTAACTCCGTATAAAAAAAATACTACTTTGGTATTTTAAAACTGTGACCATCAATTAAAAGGTTTTATATGATATTACTACAAAAATGGTTTCGTTATATTAAATTTACCGCAAAAAAATACTACTCCCTCCGTTCTCAAAAACACTTCCTCTTTCATTTTTTCCACTTCCAACAAAACACTTCCCCTTTCTATTAAAAAACCACTTTTACCCTTACTTTTTCATACCCTACTTATCACATCATACTTTTTCTCCAATAATCTATCCATCACATCAGGGGCAAAATTGGAAATCAACTATAATTTAACATTTCCTTATTTTTGCTCTCAAATCAAATGGGAGGGTTTTTCCAAACGGAGGGAGTATCAAATTTTTTTTGGAGTATTTAATATACAATGTATGTGAACTTAATATTTTGTGATTAAAACTCATCTAGTTTGAGTAAAATATTGTGAGACAGAAGAGTAAATTGTTGCTATTATGAATATTACTCCACCTATATATATGCAACAAATTAAAAACCATCAAAGAATGTACAAATAAAAGTCCTCCCCAACCATATGACAATTACACTCATAATAACAAATTTTAAACCTAAAACCCTATTGTGAATTTAAAACAAGAATTCGACTTTGTTTGAGATCGAACAACATATTCAATTAACATTAATTATCTCCGCTACCTGATGAAAAACATTAGCTTTAAAAACGCAAAACACTTTGAGAAGTGGCGGCGCCATTTTCGTTGTTTGGGTTTATGTTTCATCTTGTCCCTCAGAAACCCTTTCATGTCACCATCCTCGAAAAGAATAATCTCTTCCATGTGCTCTTTTTCATTGTCTCCGTCGCCGTAAAGGTTGTAGTTCCTGTAAGGTGTTTTCTTTTGCCATTTGTGATGGTAGGCACTGCTGCTCGTCGGTGCTGCAGATGGGTGCATCGTCATCGTCGGAGTCTTCTCGCACAGTTGCACGGCGGCGGCAGGCGCCACTGAAAAAGAATCTTGTTTTTTCCGGAAGAGAGAATTACTCCGTACTATTTAGGACTCGTAAAATAACTATATATATATATATATATATATATATATATATATATGTACTAATTTTATTTAGTTTATAATAAAGTAACCAAAAGAAGTATAGATGGGATAAAACACGTACTTGGTACTATATTACACATCTTTTTTTATATTGAATGCTCGCAATTTAATTATTCCCTCTTCTAAATATTGGTGTAAATAAAAAAATCTAGTATTTAAAACTAATATCAAATGTTTTGCGCAGGAAGAAATAAAATTTGGTAAGACTTTCACAAACTGGGGATAAAGAACAAAAAATATATTTATCCTGTGTAAATATATGAGATTGAAAAATTTATGGGACGTGGAATATTAAACCCTCGAATTTTACTTCTTTTTAGTTCTACTTCACATGAAAATTGGTGATATAAATCAATTCGATCTCTACTCTCAGTTAATTAACAACTCCATCTGTATATTTATTTTCTCTTGAATATCTAATGAAGAGTCCTGTAACACGATTCTGAGTCTGATGTCGCTAAAACCGTACTAATTACTGTTTACAAGTATTAATTTATTTTAGAAAAAAGTGTCTGCAATTAAAATAATTAAAATTGATCAATTACATAAAAATTACCATTGGTAAAGAACCAACAGTAAGCACGTGAGCTCGTATGTTAGATTTTTTTCGAACCAAAGTGTACAAATTTTAATCATCAATTAATAAAAATTACCTTACATAACAATATGAACACGATTTCATTCCATATTCTTTAGATTTTTATGTAATTGAAAAATAAAGACTTACGATCACATTTGGTGCACGGAATTGATGGAATTGAAATTGAAGTTGGATGGAATTGAATTTTCTAATTCCAAATTCACATATTTTTGTGCTAACAAATGGTATAGGAATTCATCAAAAAATTCGAAGAGAAATTGAAGTTTCCAATTTCGATTTCATGGCTTGAATCCCGTGTACCAAACGTGGTCTTAAAGTTATTCAATTTGACTAAAAAAATTTGAAATGTTATATGCAGGAGGAAGGAGTATATAAGCATGAAAAATAGCTGATATTACCACCAAAAGAGCAACTCAATGGTCTTTTGTAGTAAGTATATTACTGGTATAGTACTACTCAGTAGTACCTTTTGGTCCTTTTTCAAACAAGTCTGTTCCTGAGAGGAGACTAGAAACTGTGTAGGCTTTCACAGAGGTTGCATCTCAAGGTTTGTGTGGCCGGCAGCAGAGGATTCATGGCCATGGCCATGGCCACCACCATCACCACCAGCATCGTCGGAAGTGCGAGTCATGTATTGGACAGGTGGAGGGTTGACTATGGTCATAGGTGTGATGGCGTTATCGTCGGATAGACGTCCCTTCATCTCTCTATGCTCCTGGCACAGGGCACACCAGTGCATGCAGCAGTGCACCGCGCAGGGGTCACACGGGGAATTCTGCCATCCAAAATATCAATAATATCACGGGTCAGTTCGGAAAGTGCAAGGGAAAGAAAATAGGAAGAAAAGGGAAATTCGGATAGAAAATAAGAAACTAATTACTTCTCATTTTGATCTGCATTTTCCAATATAAACCCAAACATAAGAGAGTAACTTTCCCTCACATATTTTTCCCTTCCCCAGCTTTTTCCATGATCCAATCACGTCCTTAAGTTAAAGAGAAGAAAATATATAACCTTCAGATGATACTTCTTTTGAAGTGATTGCCGAAATAGCCCAGTATATATTCCACACACCCACCAACTGAAGACCAAGCCTTCACAGATAAGGAAGGCTTGCCTGGGATCAAGCACAATGCCATTTAATGCCGCCGTTGCTACTGCAAGAGCAATACCTCCCTCCACAAAAACAGCATGGCAAATACAGGCACGGCTCCAAGGAGTATCATCTCTCAATTGCTCAACGTTACGCCCAAACAGGACGCAGGGGCAAAAAAGTCCTGTCCAACCTGTAAAAGTGATTGCAGGACAACATTTAACCCAAATAAAGGGAGAGGTTTAATGTAGCCAATTCCTTCTGTAATAAAGAAGCGTATCATGTTCATTTTGTAAGGGTGGGTTCCACTATCAGTTATTCTAATAACTTGTTGGAATTAGTTCAATCACCTCTCTTTTTTCTTTTCCTAGCATTTTCTGTGAGTTACATAAAATGAGATTCATTGATATTGTCTTCTCACAAAATATGTTTTTGTAGTGGCTAGTAGTTGAGTGCTTGACTAGAAGCATATCACTGCACAACTACCAACCTCTGCCCTAGAAGAGGTTGAAGTGATGGAAATTGATCAAATGCATTCCATTTACTAACATATACACAAAGACCTCTATTTTTTGGACAAAGTGAGATTAATATAAATGAAGGGTGTTTATAAGAGAACTAAAACTGCCGGGTAATAATGTACTAGTAAACTAGGAGTACACTTCATATACTTGAGTTTAAGACTTAAGCTTCAGGAATCAATTGAGACTGCACTGTTTAAGAATACTTTTATAAGACAAGTAACAATTGAAAACTTCAACCTTCCAAATGCATTTATCCCTAACTAATATCAACGTGAAACACTGAAAGTATAACACAATATAAGTACGGAGTATATAATTATAGAAGTACGTAGTATATGCTACTGCATGATAATAGTGCGAGCAATATGAAACTCTTCATAACCTAATTTTCAGAAGAGAAACTTACAACTATCCATATCTTCAGTACATCCAAAGATCCCTGTTGTCCACGGCTCATCAGCAGGGGGTGCAAAACTTTCAGGTAAAGGCTGCCCACATTCATTGCACTTGCGAGCCGATAACTGCCAAATCAATCACATGTGATGGATATGGAATTTGAAAGCATAATGTATATGAAGAAAAATATGGTTCCTAGAGACATTTCATGTTAGTATTTCTTGCTACAAATAACCACCCAGAATGCTTAATTGCTTATCCAACAGTTTACATAAAATCATTCAGATACTGTAAGCATTGGCAATTAGTTTAACAGTGCCAATAGTCATCTGACTAAACTCCCACCATCCATTAGATCTCATAAATAAAAAGACTTGAAGCATTGAGAGTCACACCTGGCATACAGTAATATATGTTCTACCTGCCCCAAAANCCCCCCAAAAAAAAAAAAAAAAAACTCCATCTGCAGTTTACTTGTGTCACTTTTCAATATAATGCTCTGTAAACTGTAAAATGTTTGTTCAGTCCTAGGGTCCCTAAGGGCCATTTTGGATAGAGGTCTAAGAGTCAGAGTTTTTGGATCCCTAGGGATCAAATTGGATAGAGGGTTTTGAACGGCTAAACATTGATACACACATATACACAAGCGTATAGTTATATAAATATCTAAGAAATAACATAATGGAAATTTGGACACCACTAGACTCATCTTTGGGAACGAAAATATACAGCTTTTTTCTTGGACCATAGCATACCAACCTAAGGAGAGTTACATCCAAAGATAAAACCTTTTTTTCCATTGCACTTGGGGACATGTTTACTGCTAATTGATAAAAGAAAAAAAATCAAATTTTTAAGTAAAGTGCTTAATCTTCATTCACATCATCACATGACATATTTATAATCTTGATTTTTGTTCATAGTTGGTTTATCAAGATCGTATACTGTGTAACAACCAACCTGTAGTAGCATTTCCCAACCAATTTTTATTTAGTAATTAGTATGTGCATTCCATGAACCACTTATGCAGATAAATCAACATTAATGCAGGTTTTTTTTGTGGGATGAAGATGAGAACTTGATTTACTTGAAAAATCAAATTGTAAGAGGTTTATAAGTTTAGTAAGAAATAATCATGTCATGGGCAATGGCTAAAATGTTGGTATGTTATGGTCCTTATGGAGTACTTGATATGCTATGGTCTAAGAAAAAAGGTGAATACATTTTTGTCCCCCCCAAGGTGGGTTTATTGGCTTCAAATTTCACATCCCTAACATCAAATGTGATTATAAAACATTTCAAATTTCATTTTATCTGTATCAGTGTTCAGAAAATGAAAACAAACTACTCCGTACTTATCAAGTTACTAATTCTTACAGAACCTACGTCTCCAAAACCCAACTAAGGTCTAGTTTGGATGGAGGGTTTTGGAAGGCTTAACGTATATCTCGATTGACACAATGTTACTGAGAACTAGAAAATGATTCATCTGTGCTACACAAATGATACCAAACATGGTATGGGGCAAAGTTTTGGAACAGATGAAATATATCAAGATATAGCATCAGCCTCCAATACCATCCAAACCCCAAAACTGAGCCTGAGCAGTAAAAAACAGGAGATAAATATACTAGACCGCCATTTAAATTTTGATTTACATTTTCACCATTGTAAACATCTTTACAGATCAATACAGAAGGTTATCGTTTTTGACGAACCTGATGAACATCAATGGGCATATTGAGCTCGCCGGGATTGATGTCCTCGACCGGCGTCTGATCCTTTGTCAACTTTACATACCTAGATGGGTTTCCGCCGTCCGCCATCAGATCTCCACCGTTAAACCCCGAAATTCTACAAAGAAAAAAAACGCACCGCAAAATCTCCCGCGTCAGAGAGAAAACAATTAACTTGAATGTCGGACTCGGCAGCAGTTCGTACCTTGAATCCGGCACTGAATTGCCGTGCTACAGTCGGGATCGCGTCAACTCCGGCAATCCAAACTCCGTGATATAATCCGGCAGACGATTTGTAGATGATGCGTTGAAGGTGAGTCGATAGGGGAGTATTAGGACTTAGGAGTCAACAATGCTATGGCACGTCAAACTCATTTTTGTAAGAGAAATGCTTGAGCTATAAAATACACAAAATCCATATCTTATTTAGAAGTAAATTTTAATTTTAAAAATTTTTATCCGTGGCGATGTATTTTTAGAGCATGGACAATGTCAAGAAATGAGTGGAATGTCATACGCTGACGTGAAATATTTTAACCAATGAAAAATAATCTAGTCAGCGTAAAAATTAAGTGGAAGGTCATACCTTACAATGGCAATTTATTTTTTAATTATCTTTTTACATTTCTTGACATATATTAATTATTAAAAGTTATTATACTTTTTTAATTTATCATAACAATATTACTACTTACTCAAAAAAATTAACAGATTTTTATCCTTAAAAAAAAGAAAAGAAAAAAAAAAAATAGGTGCAAGATTGCAACGCTCGTGACTCCAAAGAAGACTAGAAGAGTGTCATGCTCTATCCACGCATGGCAATAGTGTTCTCCATGGTGACGTGGAAGTGAGGCATCAGTAGGCATGATATGGTATACCACATTGCCCATGCTCTTAGGCCATCCGCACTGGATGTCAATAGGACAAGAAATAATATTTATAATAAATACTCACTCCGTTTCATAAAATCCTTTCTTCTTTCGTTTTTTACCAATTCCTTAAAATACTTCAACTTTCTATTAAAAATCCACTTTTACCCATATTTTTCATACATTATCTATCACATCATACTTTTTTCACTAATAATCAAACTATCACATCTTACTTTTACCCATCACATCTTACTCCATGCGTTCCTTAAAACCCTTTCTATTTTGACTTTAGGTCAAAATAAAGAAAGTGTAATTTTGGTTGATTTTTCAATTCTGCCCTTGATGTGATGGGTAAAAGTAAGATGTGATAGTTTGATTATTAGTGAAAAAGTATGATGTGATAGATGATGTATGAAAAAATATGGGTAAAAGTGGATTTTTAATAGAAAGTGGAAGTATTTTAAGGAATTGGTAAAAAACAAAAGGAGAAGAATTTTATGAAACGGAGTGAATATTTATTATAAATATTATTTCTTTATTATTATTTTCTTCTTGTATTCTTATTCTTATTTATTACTTGATATTTATCACTATTTAGAGTAATAAATTTACTACTTTTTTTAGGGTGTGAAATTACTACGGAGTAATTAATTTTGAATAATAATAATAATAATAGAAAAAGAAAAAAAAAGAAAATTATGGGAGAGAGTGGGGTGGGGGTGGATTGGAGGAAGAAGAAAAGTAAAAAAGGAAGAAAAGGAAAAAGGAAAAAGAAGAAGAAGATGATGAAGGCAGGGGCGAATTAAATGAAGAGGGGATGATGATGATGATGGTGATGATGATGACGGATGTAGTTGGAGATAACGGAGCAATGGATGGAAAGTCACCTTTCAATTAGTTTTTTAGTATTGTAGGGTACCTCATAAGTATATTTTAAAAACTAGAGGTACCCAGCAGTCATTATTTAGAAATAAAGGGTACCTAGCAGCAGTTTTTTGTATATATATTGTCCCAACATTTGTGGGTAGCAGAGCATTGTCGTTTCATTCTCCAGTGGACGACGTGGGCATATAACGTCAAATGTGTCCCATTTTTTTCCCTTTAGCAAATGGGTCATAATAGGATGTCACCACATGAATATTATTATGGGTGTACATATATTTCATACAAATAAACATAGACATTAACAATAAAAGAATATTAAAAAAGATGAAGTATACAAATTAAGTATTTGACATACTTCGTAGGTAGTTTTGAACAGTCCAATTTGTGATAACCAATTTTAAATTTTTATATTATGATCACATACCGTTTGATATCAGGTCGGTTTTGGTTCGGGATGAAAGAAATAAAAAAATTCATTATCTCACTTTTGATAGAATTCTATACTGTAATTTACCTAAATAGTAATAAAATATAATGACTTTTCCAATATAGTACGGAGTAATATATGTTTTTGTATCCCAATTAGTACCACTGGTCATTATCCGCCAGTCATTGTTTAAATAAATATTCACTGCCACTCGATATTGTTCAAATTAAATATCCATCATCAGTGGACATTGTTTCTATTACTAAACATTATTCAAATACTATTTAAGGAATAAAAAATTTTAAATACTACATTAAAAAATAACATACCTAGTCCGTAGTATATTTTAATACTCCGTATAATATAATGCAAATTTCACCTTTCCTGATTTGTTTTGTAAAGAGCTGAGCTAAGATACTCTCATAGAGTCCCAGTGGGATCCCATCAAAGGGAATATACGCTGAGAGCAAAGAATAATGCCTTTCTTATTTTTAGGGAGTAACCCAGTATATGCGAATATTCTTTTTTTTTTTCATTTCGAGGGCCTCCAAGTCTCTATATAATCATCAATTTTTCTTTTTTATTCCTGTAGAATATTTTTTTTATCTAAGTCATCCTTACAAAATGACCAAAATGTCACCATCAGTCATACCCAACATTAAAAAAAGCCACGGTCCAATAGTAAAATTGAAAAGCAAACGAGGGCATTTGTGGGATTTAAGTCGTCCATTTCTTCCAGTCCACTTTAAATGAAGGCTCCTGAGAAAAAAGAAACCTTCATTCCCCTTCGTCTTCCCAGAAGAAAAAAAGAAAAGCTGCAGAAAAAGTCTTCCCTGTACATACAGGTTGAGGAAATTTACACTCAAAGGAATAGCAGAGGATAAAAAAGTCAATTTTCATCCATCTAACCAAACAAAGGTCTGTTTCTTGATTGATTTGTGTTAAGAGTATAAAATATTTCTTGCCCTTTTTTGCATAGTTTCAAAACCTGTTGACTTTGGTTTTCAGTAGCTTTTTAGTTATTTATCAAAACCTGTGAAATTACTTATAAAGGCTTAATGGAGAGTTTATGTTTTTGATGATCTCTTCAAATTCTTGGATTAAGGTATGCTTGAGTGGGATGGTTTGAAAATTGAAATGGTGGTGTGAATTTACACTTATATCCTCAGTTGATTTCAATTTGTATCTTTATCTCAGGATTATTATTGTTAGTGGATTCATCATATACAAGAGCCATTAATGGGGTCTCCAATAAACCATGGGACAAGCCACAAGAATCAACCATTGGGGATGAAGTTCATCAAGTGCCTAAAGAAGTCACCCCTCTCATACAAGACACACCAAGCCATTGTTTTGATTGTCACATTTTTCGCATACGCCGCGTACCACGCGACACGAAAGACGACTAGCATTGTAAAAAGTGCCCTCGATCCTCGACCGTCCGATCTTGGGTTGGAGTCCACGTGGACGGTGGGGAACGGGTGGGTTCCGTTTGATGGCCCGAATGGGACCCAGTTGCTCGGGGAGCTCGACGTCGCATTCCTCTTTGTGTACGCTCTCGGTATGTACTTTTCGGGTCATGTGGGTGATAGGATGGACCTCAGGCTATTTTTGACGGTCGGGATGGTGGGAACCGGACTCTTCACCGGGCTTTTCGGAGTTGGTTATTGGGCGGATGTCCATAATTTCTATTACTACTTGGTAGTCCAAATGCTTGCCGGGTTGTTCCAATCCACGGGCTGGCCTTCGGTGGTTGCCGTGGTCGGGAATTGGTTCGGGGAGACGAAGAAGAGAGGTCTTATAATGGGGATTTGGAATGCCCACACGTCGATCGGGAACATAACCGGTTCCTTGGTCGCATCCGGTTTGTTACGGTTCGGTTGGGGATGGTCTCTGGTCATTCCCGGTTTGTCCATTGCCTTCACCGGCCTAGTCGTTTTCCTATTACTACCCGTGGACCCCGAGTCGGTCGGGGCTAATAGAGACGAAGAAGACAATTTTCCCTCCCTAGAAAAGGGACGCAATGAGAAGGGATTACGAGAACCGCTCTTGAAACCGGACCGAGCCTCGGACGAATTCGCCGTGGGGTTCGTAGAGGCGTGGAGAATCCCAGGCGTCGCGCCTTTTGCTTTTTGCCTATTTTTTGCCAAATTGGTTGCCTACACATTTCTCTATTGGCTCCCATTCTACATTAGCCATACCGAAATCTCCGGGCGGTACTTGTCCAACGAGGAATCCGGGAACTTGTCGACGTTGTTCGACGTTGGAGGGGTGGTCGGCGGGGTGTTAGCCGGCTACGTTTCCGATCGCCTCAACGCAAGAGCCCTAACTGCCGCGAGCTTCGTCTATTGCTCCATCCCGGCCCTCTTCTTGTACCGATGCTACGGCCATGTCTCCGTGCCGGTCAACGTCGCCCTCGTGTTGGTCACGGGCATGCTCGTGAACGGGCCCTACGCGTTGATCACCACCACGGTTTCCGCCGACCTCGGGACGCACGGCTCGTTGAGGGGAAACACGAGGGCGCTCGCAACGGTCACCGCCATTATCGATGGGACCGGTTCGGTCGGCGCGGCCTTCGGGCCTTTGCTAACGGGGTACATTTCGGCCAAGAGTTGGAACGGCGTTTTCACAATGCTGATGTCAGCCGCTCTCGTCGCGGGTTTGTTGCTGACTAGGCTCGTCATGTCTGAGGTTGCTGATAAATTTCGAAACCCCACGGGCGAAGACGAGCCGAGGTTAGGCTCGGCGGTCGGTGACGACGCGTAAGGCTTCGTTTGGTAGTGTCATGAATCTCATCTGCTGAAATCGATTTTACCAAAAAAAAAAAGGAAAACAGAAGAGCTGGTTCTCTACCAGCTGACACTGTAAATGTGAGATTTCAGATCAACACATTATAACTTTTTTTTTGAGCGCAACACATTATAACTTGTCCTAGAGGGAATGGTAAAATAAAGATCAGGTAAATTATATTCATTGCTGTTAATTTGTAACAAGAACTTGAATAGTGAAAACTTTTCTCTCCAATTGCAGAGGTAAAGATTAATTTGTAATTGTACATTTGTACTGTGTTCAATAATAGTTCCTCATAAATTGTAATCTTCATTGTTTACGTAGTAATTAGAACTGTATTATTTTAGATTGCTTCTTATATGGATTTGGGAAGAACTGATAGTGGTAATGTCTTTCAGTATTTGTCTAAATTTAACTTTTTGCAACTAAAATTGATGAACTTTGACTATTAATTAAATAAAATAAAATTGATATTAGATATTGATAGAAAATCAATATTATTAGTTTTGCTTTATATAACATTTTCAAAATATCTTTATATAATCAATATTCTTTACGAATTTTATTTATTCATTTGTCAAAGATCAAAAAGATTGACTACAAAAAATCAAAGTTAGAAAAATACTCATGAACGACACGATAATACAGAGTAACAAATTCTATGGGATTTCTTGCTAAGTTTTATATAGTTTCATACTTTCATAAGTAGCAAGAGTTGTCCCAAATACTCCGTAGTACAAAAGAACTAGACATGAAAAAATGTCTACTAACCCAAATGTCTCTTTTTCAAATAAATTTCATCTACTCATCATATTTTAATGATTTTTTTAGAGTTTGAGAAAATAATTTTTTTGGTGCAAGTCATTTTAGCGAAATGAAAAGAGTTTATTCTAAAATTTTAACACATTATTACTGATCCTAGAAAGGGGGTTTGAATGCAACCTTCCTTTCTAGGGAAAATGAATATCCTACATTGGTTCTATAAAGAAATATACCCCCTTTGTCCCAAAATAATCATCTCACTTCGAACAATGTATAAAATCTCATACGGAGTATCTTTTTAAATAAACTTTTTACAAATTTTAATATATATAATAAAAAATAAAAATTACATATATCAAACTACATCAAAAGTTCAACCTAAATGCTCCGTATAAATCAAGATGTGATTAAAATGTTTTATTTTTCTCCGTATCAAATAACTAATACAAACAGACGACAATGAAACATACAAATAATCAAAAGTATTGAAAAATAAAAATAATAATTGTGACGATTATTTCGAAGAGAGTTTAGTTTTAAAAAAAAATGTACCTATGTAATGAAAGGAGATAGGTAGGGCCATAGCCCATAGGTATGGACGTATGGTTGTGGCCTTGTGGATAAAAAATGTGTAACGGCCAGCGCCTTCCATTGTCCATTCCGATTCCACTCTTTTCGTCCGTCATTTTCGATCAGAAAATAACACTTCTTTGGCTTTATTCCCCGACGAGAGTGAGTGTACAATTTCCCACATCTTTCGTTTCTGTACACAATCATATGATTTATGCTGCTATTTTTGGCACTTGACATTTGACAAGCAGACTATTTTAAAAGGGCCATTTGGCAAGTTTAAGAAGATGATATGATATCCTATGTGCTCTGAAACCTGCAATGAGTAGTCGATGTCGGGAGGTGGCTTACGGCGAGATGTGATCAGCCATGAGAGGTGACCAACAAGGGTGGTGGTGGTGACCGGCGATGGGGGGTGAATAGCTAGCGGGATGGTCGGTAGTTGATGGGGTATCAAAATTCTAAATTGATATTCTCCCAAATTGTAGAAATATCAAAACACACCATGTGGAAGGGTGTGACATTAGGAGATATCAAATTCGAGTCATGTTTAGACTTCACCACAACACTTGCAAAAGGCTCTAAGGTTCATTGGGATTTTAGGGTTTTTAAAAGGAAAGTGCACCGTTTACCCCAAAATTTTTGGAAATTGCATGATTTACCCTTGAATAATAAAAATTGCACCAAATACTCCGAACTCTTTGAAAATTGTATGATTTATCCCTGAATATTTAAACAAAGACAATTACATTGGGGCAAGGTACTTTAGAGAATTCACAATGGCCATATGAATCGTACTTTGTAAAACACACTCCATATCTAGCATTTTAGGACCAACAGTGTTACGTTTTAATTTGTTCAGGGTATTTGGTGCATTTTTTAATGTTTAAGGTAAATCGCGCAATTTTCAAAGAGTTTGATGGTAATTAAGGGGTAAATCATGCAATTTCAAAGAATTAGGTGTAAACGGTGCACTTTTCTCGTTTTTTTAGTAAGAAAATTTAAAACAAGATTATGAAACTAGAAGAAATGATTTTCAGTTTTATTGGCGTGATTCAAATCTAAAATCCATGTTTGCAAGACCAACAAGTAGATTATAACCTTTGAGATCACTCAACTTTTTCCGCACTTTTCAAGTCATTGTGCAATGACCCAATGTTTATACTGCCGACAGCGATAACTAATCACCTGGCCGCGGGGCTCTCTGAAGAGGGAAAAGATTGGTTATGAGATACTCAAATGCACTTCATTGCCAGACGTAGGGACCGAACCCGAGTCCCCAGACCACATGGTTAAGGGATGAACCAGGCAGTCGAGCACCCTTTATGACATGAGACTATGAGAGACTCACGTGCAAACTCAAGAAAAAATTAAAATTTAGTAGGTGACATGAAATGTCATGAACTCGAATGGGAAAAGTTAAGAGCATAGAGCATATAAAGTGAACATCATCAAAATTGGGTATCCTCTGTTTGTTCAATATTGTTCGGCGTCTAATAAGACTGGGAATAGGCTTTTGAGAGCTGCAAACCGGGCAGGTCTAATATGTCATGAACTCAAACGGAAAGAACTTGAAAAGTACTAATGTGGTGTTCAAATGTGAGATTACAAACATACATCAAAGCAGAGGTGGAAGAACTGAAGAAGCGCAGAACAATAACAGGAGGAATAAGAAGAGTATCACAAGAGAAGAAAATCATATTTCTGTGGTGTCTCTTGTTTGGTTTATGGGGTTATGCCCATAGCTGCATATACAGAAGGCATTAGCGTGACAGTGTCATATCAATGATCACCCAATACAATTCTCGTCATCGTTTGAGTACTTGGGGGCGCCCCCACACCCAAACTCCTAATAAATTATGAAAAAAATTTGGCGTTTCACGCTTCTGACCCCATCCCCGTATAAGTCCATGTCCCCATCTCGGTGAAACTTAGGTTGTTGTACTCCCAACATGGAATGAGTGTGAGGTTTTTTAGCGTCTTCTTGATTGTCTCTTCCATTGTTTGGGTTAGGCATCAAATTGAAGTAGAATAGGACTGCAAGCATGCCCATTCCCACAATTATCGAATATATGTTTCTTGTTCATTGTCAAACACAATGTGATCTTACTCTAACAACTAGGGGTGGGCACGGGCCGGTCCGAGTCCAAATTTATATAAACCGGACTCGGCTTGTTTTTATTAAAACGGTCCGGGCCGGAACGGGTTTTCAAAATTTTAAAATTGGAACCGGACCTAACCCGGCTTGTTTGAAACGGGCCGATTCCACGGGTCAACGGGTCCGAACCTGTCATAGTACTAACATTCTTCAAAACAAATAGAAATTATAGAATAATGCCTTCAAAGTTCAAAAAAGAGGAATAAATGAAAAAAACAATGGCAAAGAGGAGCATGAGAGTAAAGTGTACACCCCATGATCATCCAACAACAACAACAAAAAGAAGACAACCACATTTTGGCATTATAATGTCAATAGGTTTCAAAAAGAGCAAAATTGACAATTTTCATGGCTTCTAAAAAATCCAAAAAACCTGCAAAAAACAAAATTTTAAAATCAACCATATTCCACACACAAAAATATGCAAATGACTTTTGATTCAATAATACACTTTTTTTCTAATTCAGTGAAAATTAGCTTCATTTATTGAACATGACTTATGCACTTCTGCGGTTCTGCACTGTGATTGGAATATGGAAGGACCGAAAGAGTTACTAAAATTAATTGGAATAGGCGGATATACTGTATATTTAAACGGTCCGGTCCGGGTCCCAAACAATTTCAAAATGAGGAACCGGACCGACCCTAAAATATATAGGAACCGGACCGACCCGGACCGTTTTAAATTTTTGAAAAGACGACCCGGACCTAACTCGGCCCGAACCTGGCGGTTCGGTTCCGACCCGCGGTTCCTGGACCCGAATGCCCACCCCTACTAACAACTGTCTAGATAAAATTCAACCTAGCTAGATTTGTCAAACACAACGATCTAGATTCTATCTAGACAATTGACTCCACCTATCTGAATCCCTTCGAACGAACCAAATTCAACCTAACTATAGTTTCATTCCTAACTGGAAAGATGAAAGGGATAAACCCTAAAGCCCCAAATTCAAGTCAAATCAGGGCAGCCAAAGCTTAACACTTCAACTCAGAATCAGGCATATAAAACATCAAACGTCAAGCTTAATCTCAAATATTGACAAACACACAAATTATAATCTAAGGTAGTGTTTGGCAACTAGCATTTCATTTCAATTCATGTATTTCAATTCCAAAATTTGAAATCCTGAATTTCAAATGACAAGGGGAGGTGCATGGATTTCAAATTAAGCTTGGTTTTGAATGTAAAGAATTTGATTCAAATCCAAATTCAAAATGCTTAAGTTTCCCAAACATGGAATTTAAGCCAAATCCAGATTTAAAATCCAAATCCATGTTCCCAAACATACCATAAGGTAGTGTTTGGCAACTAGCATTTCATTTCAATTCTGCATTTCAATTCCAAAATTTGAAATTCAGAATTTCAAATGACAAGGGAAGGTGCATGGATTTCAAATTAAGCTTTGTTTTGAATATAAAGAATTTGATTCAAATCCAAATTTAAAATGCTTAAGTTTCCTGGAATTTAGGCCAAATCCGGATTTGAAATCCAAATCCATATTCCCAAACATACCATAAAATTATTTATGAAATCTGTTCACGTCGATTGCAATTTCTAAACAAAGCAGACAGTTAATAGATCGGTGACCTGAGATTATGAATGATTCTAAATGCTAATCGCCGGGATTCGGGGGCTTCCGGTACTTCTCCTCGACGACTTTAGCCTTGAACAAAGCGGCCTCGATGGTTTTCCGGATGTTGGGGACATTGTAGTTCTGGGCGATGTATATTCCGCAAAGTGTCCCAGATATGAAGATGAAATTGTTCCTGATTATTCCCATCGACTCTCCGGCGGCTCTAACTTCAGTGGGATGAAGTGAACGGACAGCTGTTAAATCCGGTACCGGAATTATTGATCGCCTTGGTGACCGAAGTCAGCGAACTATTTCACCGTCTTGACGGGATACTCATTTTAGGACGTTGTTTGGTAAAGGTTTTCTTTGGTGACCTTAGATGATTTTTTAAAATGTTAAAGTGATAGACAAAATATTTTCACTTAAATTTTTTACTTGTTTCAAAATATATTTTAATTGGGATTAGATACACATTAACATTTTAATTTTTCACAAATTTTAAAAAAATTATCTCACTTTTTCACATCCTCATGATGAGTTGAAGTGTTGAACAATCAATTCACATGGGTGTTTTTATTGTTTTTTTTACAATTTATCATAGCCTTTTATATAAGTTTTCACATATTAACGATTCATATTTAGTGTCATGTTTGATGGATTAATATTTATCCTTGTTTATTGTTTAACAAAATGTTGGGAATACACAAATATATTTCAAAGTCTTTCCACCACACAATTTAAAAGTTGATAAAAAATAATGAATAGATAAAAATTGCATGGTGAGAAGTCCCACACAATAATGATAGGAGTACGCCAAACTTATTTCAGAGTTGCACTTAATCACTCTTCTCACCACATATTTCTTATTTACGGAGTATTGTTTAATCTTCTTAGACCTAAAATTGTATGGTGGAGAGATCGTGATTCGGAGTACTTAAGTACATATTAATTCAAAGTCTAGTTCAAAATACTAGACAACACTTCCTTGGTGCTAAATTAATTAGTACACTCTCACTTTACACACTTCAAAAAAACATTAAAAAAATAAAAAATAAATAGCTGAAAATTGAAATTTGTTTTGAAAAAGAATTAAAATGATGAATCATGTATTCTTTACATTACAGAGAAAATAAAGAAGAGTGATACAAGTAAATTTTGAGATTAAATAAAAAAGAGAATAAAATCGATGGACATAAGAAATACAGAGGACCTGTTTGGGAATAGCGTTAGCCATTAGCGTTAGCGTTTTGAAAAGGCTATCTACGGGCAGCGTTTAGCGTTAGCGTTTTCAAAGTAATCTGCACCGTTAAGATTTTATCCAAAACGCTAACGTTAATCTCTAAGGCTATTCCCAAACATGCCCGGAGTATAAACTCAAAATCTGGTCCCCCGGGCCTAGCAAGCCAAAGTAAGATAGCCCAACCTAAAATCTGGTCCCCGGCCTACTACAATTAGATGAACCAAGTTTTTTTTTTTTTTTTTGTGATAGTAACTCATCTAATCCAACAACCGTCATGTTCTTTAGTTTGGCGCTAAAATAAACCCACACTCCGCATTTAAAAACCCGATTTGATTTTTCAAGTACTCCGTCTTCATAACGAAACCGGCAATGGCGAGAAGGTACACGACGCTACGAAAGAAACTCAGGGAACTCGAAACGGCGGTGGTGGAGTTGTTCACTCTCCCGCCGGAGTCGCCGCACCGCCACCGCCTCTCGGACGGCGTGGAGGAGCGTCTCGGGGCGCTCAAGGCGCTATTGTCGTCAGAGATGTCGTCCGTGCCGGATGCAAACCCGGACAACCTGCTCCAGATCGCCGAGATTCTCTCCGAATTGGACATGGCTTTCAGATGCGCGGCGGCGGTCGGCAGCGGCGACGGCGATGCGGGATCGGTCGATATGTCGGATCTAGGGTTCAAGGTTTACGACGTTCCGGAGGAGTTGACGGAGGATCGTGACGGAGAAGAGGAAGGAGATGGGGGCGTGTGGGGGACGGATGACGGCGTCAAAGAAGAGCCGTCATCGGCGGTGAAGGCAAATATGGGAAGTGATTATCATAGAGCGTGGGGTGTTGGAGCGGTGCTTGGAGCCTTTTCCATGGTTGTTTTTATGTCGAGATTTTCTATTTGTTCTCAGGAGGTTAATTATTTAGGTCGATTCACTCCAACTTAAATTGATTAGGGAGTACTCCATATTATTTAACACAATATTTGTGCAAATTATTACTCCATATATAAAATCATCTGTATTGTTATATATGTAGGCATGAATAGAGAATTCCTAACATTTTTTTAGTTGTTTAAAGACCAAACAAAATTGTTCTTTGTGTCACATTAGTTTGGATTTGAATGAGAATTATTATGGGGGAGTAGAGTATGTTATGCTAAATTTTTATATCTCCACTACATTTAAATTTATGTATAGAAATTTATGGAGTATTTTAAAAAAAATTCGTATTTCATGTTTTGGAATAAAAAATAAATAACCGTAGTCCATATGACATATATTAAATCATTTTGTTAAATTAAAGGACCAAATCTACCCAAGTTTCAAAGAAAAAATTTTGGACTCATTCTTAACTTGCTTGAACAATATGGTTCAATTCTGAATTATAATGTCAAAACAGTTTTCCCACTCTTAACTATAAACAAAATAACAAAGAATTAAAATGTGATACGAGCATAGTTTTAAAAACCGAACCAGAGACCGAACCGGTCCAGGTATTGGTTCACTGGTTTACTGGTTGAACCAGTAGTTCAAGTGGTCGAACCAGTGGTTTAAATATTATATATATATATATATATATATATATATATATATATATATATATATAGCATAACATACTCTACTCCCCCATACTAAAACCCTAAACCATCAATAATAATAAATAACTATTAAATAATACTCCCTCCGTCCTCCTAAGATGTTCTCATTTTGACTTTTGGTGGTTTTTAAGCAGAGTTGAAAAAAGGTGAAAGTTTACCATAATACCCTTAATGAAAAATGGATGGAGTGTATTAAATGAGGTGGGTGAGATGTAATAAATAAAGTAAGTGGGGGTAGTTGTGGTATTTTAATTGTCAAAAAATGAAATGAGAAGATCTATTATGGACAAAGAAAAAAGGGCTATTGAAAAGATCTATGAGGGACAGAGGGAGTAATATAACTAACTAAAATATCATAATTAACTGTCCGTATCAAATATAAATTTTGATCAAGAAATATGAATTGAGAAAGGATTATTATGGGACGAGAAGCATTTCGGATTTTAAAATTGGTTTTTGACTTTTCGTACACATTTCAAAAACTCACAAGCACAAAAAGTGATAGCCAGTCACATTGACTGTTCACTGTCAGTTATCGCAATCGATTCAATTTGGGCAAAATCGTCATTTTAGGTGAGAAATAAACGGGTTGGGAGCGCACGTCCCACATTTCGAGCAAAGTGGCGAATTTCCAGGGCACACACTTTCTTTCCTTCTTTCTTTCTTTCTTTCCTTTTAAATCTCTTCGTTTCTCCTTGCTTCTTCTCTCCGGGAGACCACCGGCGGCCGTTATGTAAAAGAAAGAAATAATAAGCTCCGGGCAGGAACTTTATCAATGGATTTCACGAGTGCTCTCCGCCGGGCTCTCATTTTCAGTGCTTTGCTGTTCTTCACCGTCTGCTTCGCCGGAGACCGATTTGTCTACTTCGAGTTGGAGTACTCTTACGTCACTCAGTCTCCACTCGGCGTTCCTCAGCAGGTAATAGTCTCGAGCTCAAAATAAGCTTATAATTTTCCTGGGTTTAGAGTAATTTCCAGTCTCCTTTGTTCTTACATATACGGAGTATTTTATATACTTCCTCTCTTCAAAAAAAAATTCAGCCCACAAAATCTCAAATGTTATCAACTTCCTTTGTCTATTTTTGTTGATAAAATAATACAGTGATGTACTGACTTTTTTTGTAGAATATTTATTTAATGCAGTTCTTAAATATATACTCTATATATATTACTACGTAATATTACATCAATTTTCAAATAAATGAAATGTAAAATAACTTCAATTGGGACAAAGAGAGTATATATAAGTGTACTGATCCTCTGGGTTTCTTGTAATAATCCAATAATGCTGATAAGATGGAAAAAATTGGGCAAATAAGCTATTTTTTTCTTTCTTTTTGCTGTGTTTTGCACTTTCTTGGAAGTATGGAGTATATTATGGAACCTTTTATTACCTTATTTAATTAATAGTCATGATAGTTGGGTATTATCTTTGTTTTTGTTCTTAAGATTCATTCTCAGATTTCATAGAATTTGAAAACAACTGCTTTAGCCTTCGATAAATATTTTGAGTTTTTTTTCTCTCTTGATAATTTATTTATCAACATATCCTGGGTTGTCTCTGAATAACAGGTGATTGCAGTTAATGAGAAATTTCCTGGTCCTGTTTTAAATGTTACAACTAATGACAATGTGGTGGTTAATGTGAGGAACAACCTGGATGAAGATCTTCTGGTTACTTGGTATGTTTTATTGAACAATGTGGTATTGGAAGATAGGAGCAACTTTTTGTGTCTGTTTGGATCTAAGGATTTGAAGGACTTATACTATATCTTGAAAATGTTTTGCAATTTCATAAAAAAAATCAAGTAGTAACACAATAGGTGATCCTACAAAATCACAATCACCATTTAATTAAGACTGAGCTTTTAAGAATTGGGATATGTTTTCTTTGTTCCTTGTCAGTAAGGAACCAACCCAACCAGTAAAGGTTTAATTTAAATATATTCTAACAGTGGTGAGTGACTGATTTTACAGGTCGGGCGTTCATATGTGGCGTTCTTCTTGGCAAGATGGAATTCGGGGTACAAATTGCCCTATCCCGTCGCGATGGAACTGGACCTATCAGTTTCAGGTCAAGGACCAAATTGGGAGTTTGTTCTATTTTCCATCCACATTAATGCAGAGAGCATCTGGTGGCTTTGGTTCATTTATTATCACTAATCGCCCTGTTATCAGTCTTCCTTTTGGTTTTCCTGATGGGGATATAGTCATATTCATTGGGGACTGGTACACCCGAAATCACAAGGTATAAGTTCTTGAGCCTGTTTGGAATAACTCTTGCTGTAAATGCTTTAATGATGAAGTGTTTCTTCATCTAAGCACTTTTGTTCTGTTATCTTTTCAATCTTTCTTCTTTTTTTTTTTGCAAAAGTACATTACTTCTAAGTATAATAATCTAATTCAATGCTGATTGTTAGGCTTTACGGGCTGACCTCGATGCTGGTAAAGAGCTGGGAATGCCAGATGGGGTCCTTATCAATGGCAAAGGACCCTACAAATACAACTCTTCGCTTGTTCCAGATGGCATTGATTATGAAACGATAAATGTTGATCCAGGTCTTGTTCTTATAACTGTTCTCATTTTAGTATCTTGTTGCAATATTGTCGATAATAATGTCTTTAATGTTGAGCTTCTGCTTATTAATGGGGTAAATTTTGTCATTTTCATGGTGTTAATCACAATTTTCAGTCTGAGCTATGTATGGCCAGTTGACCTTGTAAGAAAAAAAGAGCCTCATCCTTTGGAACTTGCTATCATTTCATGTTTAGTTTCTTTGTGTGTTTGGATTTCAATGGTTAAAAGCCAATTTCTTGAAAGTTCTTTTTTTTTTCTCTCTAAAAGTTACATATTCTTGAAAAGCTCTGTTTGACAAAAAATAAAAGCAATATGCAAAAAGCAATATGCAACAAAGTTCTTTGAAAAATCAAAAGCACTTTTAGAAATCTAAAATTACTTTGAGATTCCTAATCCGGAACAGAAACCATCTCTTTAACTTTAAAGGTAGGGGTACACCCACCCAACCCGGACCCCACTCATGAGACCATAATGTATGATTTTTTATGTTGCATTGGCTCAATGATCTTAAGTCTTAACCAAGAGGTATGGAACATTTTGCAGGCAAAACTTATAGAGTTCGGGTGCACAATGTGGGAGTCTCAACATGTTTGAACTTTAGGATTCAAAACCATAACTTGCTCTTAGCAGAAACAGAAGGAACCTACACCTCACAGCAGAACTTTAGTAGCATAGATATCCATGTAGGGCAGTCCTACACTTTTCTGGTCACAATGGATCAGAACGCAAGCAGCGATTACTATGTCGTCGCAAGTCCAAGATTTGTGAACCAATCAACTTGGCAGAATGTCACCGGTGTCGCCATCTTGCACTATTCCAACTCCATGGGAAAAGCATTTGGACCTCTTCCGGATCCTCCCAATGACGTCTACGACACATCCTATGCCTTAAATCAGGCCATGTCCATCAGGTTCGTCTCAGTCCTCACCCATTTCATCATCTAGCGATCCACACCGACTTTCATGATATTACCCATTTTACCCTTTTAGGCAAAATGTATCTGCGAGTGGAGCCCGCCCGAACCCGCAAGGATCATTCCATTACGGCTCTGTTAATGTCACGGATGTTTACATCCTAAAGAGTTTCCCACCATTGATGATTGATGGGAAGCTCCGAACCTCGTACAACATGATATCCTTTGTCAATCCCAAGACTCCAATCAAGCTTGCTGACGAATACAATGTTCCGGGCGACTACAAACCTGACTTCCCAACCAAGCCCATGAACAGACCACCTAAGATGGACACATCAATCATCGACGGAACTTACAAGGGATTCATTGAAATTGTACTGCAGAACAATGACAGTGTTGTTCAGAGCTTTCACATGAGCGGTTATTCTTTCTTTGTGGTCGGGTATTGCTCGTTTACTTTATGAACAGAACATGGTTTACAACATTTCTGTCTCTTCTAAACAAATTTCTAATGACATTTATTATGAGTATATTTGCATGAATACGTAATTATTTTGAATGCTGCGCAGAATGGGATATGGAGAATGGACTGAGAACAACAGGGGATCATATAATAGATGGGATGCGATATCCCGTTCAACTACACAGGTTTCATACTATTTATTTACCAATTGTGAGAATATATTGTATAGCTCTCTTGTTCATATTCTCTATCTTAGTTTTCTTTCCATTTTTCAACCTCACTTTATCTTTTTTATATTTAGGTTTTTGCAGGAGGGTGGACATCTGTGTTGGTATCTCTTGACAATGTTGGGGTGTGGAACCTTAGAACAGAAAACCTTGACAGATGGTACTTAGGCCAAGAAACCTACCTCAGAATCACCAATCCGGAAGATACCGGAAACAAAACCGAACTCCCCGCTCCAGAGAATGTTCTTTACTGCGGTGCCCTTGCTTCAATGCAGAAGTATATATATATATATTCAACCCTTTTTGTTTTCTTAATTGAACTCTTTCATGGTAACCAATTAGTTAGTTACTATTAAATCTTACATTCATCTCTGCATTTCAGGCATCAAAAAACATCTTCTGCAGCAACCCTTCATGGAAGTTTGAGGTTGGTTTTATCCACTCTGTTTCTATCTGTAGCTGTCATCATCTGCTTCCATTTTCACTGAGGTTTAAGTGCTTTAGAGCAGTGGGTAGGGGTAGTTTTGGAATGGAGATTGCTTGGGCGTTTTTGGTGTTCTGCTGATTTTCTTTAACCATTTTTTTACCTTTAAAAGAAGAGGTAAAAAAAAAAAAATTGTGCTCAAGAAGTTTGTGTACTCATGAGGACTTGAATGACCAAAATTTGTAACAACGGATTTGATTGTTCTAATCTATTTCTCTTTATTCTCGGATTATAAGAAATAATTAAGAAGCTAATGTATGACTATTTTGTATAAGTAAAAAAGAAAAGGAAAAAAAAATTGCCACCGGTGATGATTGATTAGATTAGAGACCGGATTTGTAAGGCACGCCGGAGGACGGCAACCATGAGTTGCCGTCAATAAACACGCCGACGGTGAACGGCATGGCTTCCGCCGGTGTCATGAGCTGGTGGACCCCACCCCACTTCACCCTCCTTGCCGTCCCCGAACCGGGCCCCGTGTTCCCATACTCTGCATAGTATACAGTACTCTGGAAAGACGGCTGCTTGCCGTCCCACCACGTCCACCCGGACGGATCTATGAAGGAATCGATCACCGTCTCCATGAAAACGGCGCGTGAGTACACCCCCCACGGCCTCCCCAGGTATCCGACCGTCCCCCTGAGGTTCGACGCCGGATCTGGCACCACCCGCGAGCTCTGTATCACGATCCCGGTCTCCTCCGTGGGCCCCTCGCGCTTCGACGCCGTGATCACGACGGCCCCGTCATTGCCGGGCTTCCTCGCGTAGATATTGCAGTCTTGGAAGACCGCCTTGGCGTTCCCGAAGATGAAGTCGACCGTGCCGTGGATGTCGCAGTTTTTGTAGAACTGTCGCCCTTCGTAGACGTAGAGAGTGTCTTGGTAGCCTTCAATGGAGCACTCGTAGAACACTGCCCGGTCCCCGCTTACCCGAAGAGCCACCGCTTGTCCATTGCCTGGACCGGCGGTGTTCCGAAATGTTATGCCACTCGCTATAAACCCATTGGCATCAACACCTGCATGTAGCAAGGACACATTTTTAAAAGCTTGGATTATAATACTCCTTCGTCTCTAAATCTTCTTGTTTGGATTTTTATGGAATTTAAGGAAGAAATATTTTTGTATTGACTTTCCCAAATTACATTTGGTGAGATGAGTAAAATAAGACCTTATAAGTAAATCACTAGTAGATAAGTACGTAGAATGTGATAGTAATGTAAAATTAGTATGTGTGAAAGTGATCGTTTGATGGAAAAAAGAATGGAATTCTGGGTCAAACAATAAAAACTAAGAACTAATGAAGTATGCGGTATACATCTATAGGAGAATTTACGTAAATAGTACTAAAAGATAATGACTTTCCCTAAATAGCATCACATTTGTTTTTTTCTCAAAGTAGTACTTTTAGTCATTATCCATTAGTCATTATTCAAGTAAATGTTTGTCATCACTGGATATTATGGCATTATTAAGTGCTATTTAGTTGATTTTATATAACCACATTTCCTCCATTTCCCACATTTCCTCACTTACCAAAGGTTGCGGTGTCGAATGTGGACCCGCCAACGCCATTGACGCTCCGTTGGCCGGTGATTATAGTCACGCCCTTTCCGTCTCCTACCAAAGTGAGGCGTGGGAGGCGGTTGTCGACAAAGACGCTCTCGTTGTAAACTCCGGCCGTTATTTTAATAACAAACCTCCGGCGCCAAACCCTCTTTTGGATCGCAATGGCGATGGCCTCCGTTATGGTCCGGATGTTTCCGGGCCCGCTCCCAACCACGAGGTTCGCCGGTGGCGGCACATAGTCTGCCGCCACTTGGGGCGGCGGCGGAATAGTAAATAAGGATATGGCGAGGAACAAGAAAACCCCAAGCTTATGCATGCTGCAGAGCTTGGCACGTAAATAGTTGAATTTAGCATGCATTTTGTTTTTTACTGGCCTGGGGTATTTTACTTTTTATTTTTCACTGGCTGGGGTTTGTTATTTTTGCATGTTTTACACTTTTACTTACTTTGATTTTTAATTGAGCAAGAACTCGTATATATAGTAAATAAACGCCTAATGTTAATAAAGATAAAGTACTCGTCTCATCTCTCTAATTTAAGTTTAGGCATTAAGTTACCTTTATTTTGTTTGAAACTGTTTGTTTTCGTTTAACTTATATTCACGTCAAAGTGTTATTATGGTGAAATTAATTTAAGATATACCCATTATATATATCAAAGTGTGTTCTCTTTTCTAAAAAAAAAAACTATAAATATCTGTTAATAAGTACAAAGTAAAAAATAAACTTTAATATCAACGACACATTTTTTTCAAAGAAAAACTAATAATGAATTTATCGGGTGTAAGATTGGGAGTATAAAAAAGAAGGGGTAATTAAAGTTGTTTTATTAAAACCTTGAGAGGGAGGGGCAACGCTTCTAGCATAAATCAATAAATGTTTGAAGTTTAAAGTTTGAACTTTGAACACAACCTAGAAACAAGTACTCTCTCTTTTGAATCTTCTCGCTTTGACTTTTAAGATTAATTCGACTATAAATTACTGAAAGAATAAATCGATTTGTGTTATACATTTAATACCTTATCTGTTAAAAAATTATCTTACCTTTTTGCCTTATACGTAAATTAAAGAAAAGTAAAAATATGTTGACTTGAAATATAGTTTCGAAAAACAAAATTTTACTCCTTACATTCCAAATTAAATTGCTTGCTTAGTATTCACGTCCACAAAGTCGGACTTTAATTATTTTTCTCTATTTTTGTTAGTTATTTGATAAAATAATATAATCATGTCACCACTAGTTTTGTAGATCTTTTGATTTAGTTTTTAAATATGTAATATTTATTTTTTTTATTTTTTTTAGTTCTACATCATTTTTTAAACATAACATCAGTCATACATCGTAAACCGAAACAGACAATTTAAATTAAAACAGATAGAGTATATCTTTTTACGAAGTTATACATATATTTATTTCTAAATAAAGATATTAATGTTCAAAATATTGTACATATTGGGACTGCAATTGGGGACTGCAAAAAGTAGAAAGATTCAAAAGCATGCAATGGATCGGAGGGATCGGAGTAGTATACGAATTGAAGTACAAACTTAAAAGTTCTTACCGCGGAATATCTGTGTTTAATTTACATGGGTTTCTAAACTGAATCAGTTATCATTTTAAGACTTTTTTAATGCATTTTGTTGGTGTAAACCACCATTTATCTTGTTTAGTTGATTAGTTACACAATTTGTTAGTTTGTTAGAAAGATATTTTTGGTTGTTACTTGTTTTTCATTTTCTATATATAGGACTTAACCATGTAACACACAATTTGAGCTAGTTAATACTATTTGATGTTTTCATTTCCAACATGGTATCAGAGTGGTTGGTTTAGCTCCACCCAATCGGCTTATTATCTTCAATTTCTCTCTTGCTTTCATGGCGGAAACTCTGCACATTCATCATTCTCTGATTTCTCTCAATTAATCACGCGAAGCTTCTCTTTCTCTCTCTAGAAGAACCGCCATGGCCGCCGGTGCTCTGCAACTGCAGATTCTCCTCGTCTTACTCATTCTCATCTCGTTGTTCATATCCGGAGCTACGACGGACTCCGTTTCCCGTTCAGATTCATCGTTATTCCGGCGTTCGCACCGTTGCCGGAGCAGTACTCGTACGACGCTCAACTTTATGCGCCTCCAGTCTTCGAGAACATTCTGCGTGCTCTAGGTTTCGAGGAGCTGTCCGCTGCCGCCGCCAGCGCTAATCTCTCAACCGGCGCTCCGATCACCATCTTCGCCCCGGCTGATTCATCGATTCTCACATGCCGCTCGTGCGTTCTGCGGCTGCTTCTACACGAGCGCTCTGTTCCTGGACTCTATCCGCTCGAATTCCTTCGGAGGTTGGCGTCTGGTACTAAGATCCAGACTCTCGCCGACAACCGATGCCTCACCAACATCATCAGCACTTGCAGGGCTTACTGATGGACTATCTCCTGCATCTGCCTTTGTATTTCCCAGCGCCTATCTGTCTATTAATCTCTCCAAATCAGGTTTCATCACAGTTGGTCCATATTGATCCTCTCTTCATTGTGTTGGTTCTCAAATTGAGTATCCAACTTCATTTTCATTCTCATGATTGGAATGTTTAGTTTCAGTCATTCTTTCACTTCTGTAATTTAGAAGTTTCATCATTGTTCATGTTGTAATGCCTTGAATCTGATCCGTTACAGCTCCAGATCCGGAGAAGTCCAACTTCGGAGAAATCCGGATCCGGAGAAGTCTGGCTTCTGAGAAATCCAAATTCCGGAGAAGTCGAGAAATCCGAATTCCGAGAAATCCGAATCTTGAGAGATCTGAACCCTACTCTAATTGGGCTTTCTAATTATCTATTAATTCTGTAATTTGGGGCCCAAGTCTGTTAGGGTTTAGCTAAGCACTATATATATGGGTGCTACCACAAACCCTATATGGGGTATTCTGTATTCTGTTCTTGCATCTCCAATCAGAAATAAAACTGCTCTCCCTCTTCCCCGTGGACTAGCCAACACAACGTTGGTGAACCACGTTAAATCTGTTGTCGTGTTTTTCTCGTTTATACTTTGTTATTCTCAATTTCCGCACAACAAACTGGTATCAGAGCCAAGGTTGTTCAACAAAGAACACGACCAACACCAGAGCCGAAGTTGTCACCTAGGTTTTGGAGATCTGGATCGGGTGCCGTTGAGAAGTCGCCGTTGTCCTGTTGTTCGATTGAGGATCCACGCGCAGCCCCGAACCGCCGTCAGCCACGCGGGAGTAGCCGCTGATCCGTCCAGGCGCCACCGTAGAACAGCCGCCGCTTGAGTGGAGATCTGAACCGCGTCGCTGCCGTCGTCGCGCAGTAGGCAGATTACCGCCGTCAGTTGACCATCGCGAGCAGCACAGATCACCACCGCCGCTGCTCAGCCGCGAGCCATCAACATCGTCTAGATTTTGTGCCGCCACCGTCGAGTTGCTATCGCCGACTGTTCCAGCTGTTGCCCATCTCATCCACCGAACAAAATAAAAGGGGAAGCTTTTGTTTTGCAGGACCGAAAGAGAAAGAAGAAATAAAAGGTGGGTAGGTACGGTCAACTGTGCAATTTGGTCAGCCCCATTTTTCTTTATTTGGTGCTTTGTGGTTGGGCTTTTATTTGGTGGTTTTTGAGCTTGGAGTTGGGTTGACCCTTGGAGAAATTTGGCTGTTGATCTCTTATCTGAACAAATTGAGATAATCTAGTCTTAGATTTTCTATTTTGGGCGAGGAAGAGATGTCAGCTTTGAACGTGAAAATTGACAAATTCACGGGGAGGAACAGTTTCAGCTTATGGCAGATCAAGATGCGGGCTTTGTTGAAACAACAAGGCTTCTGGGCGCCGTTGTCGAAAGACAAAAACGCCGTCGCTACTCCTGAGATGGCGACTCTGGAAGAGAAGGCGCATTCGACGATCATGCTGTGTCTGTCAGATGACGTTATCACGGAGGTCTCAGACGAGGAGACTGTTGCTGGGTTGTGGTTGAAGTTGGAGAGTCTGTACATGACGAAATCTTTAACCAACAAGCTACTTCTGAAACAACGTCTATTCGGTTTACGAATGGCTGAAGGTACACCACTCAGGGAACATTTAGAGCAATTAAATACTTTGTTATTAGAATTGCGTAATATCGATGTGAAGATTGAGGATGAAGATGCTGCCCTGATTCTGTTGGTATCTCTCCCAATATCGTTTGAGAATTTTGTTCAATCGTTCATTGTTGGGAAAGATACCGTGTCTCTGGAAGAAGTAAGATCGGCCCTTCATAGCAGGGAATTGCGGCATAAGGCTAACGGCACGAGTACAGATGTACAACCTTCTGGTCTTTTTACCAGTACAGGAAAGGGGAAGGAATACAGCGGAAAGAAGAAGGAAAGAAAGTCGTCGTCAAAGGGTGCAAGGCCGGATGATGTCTGTAATTACTGCAAAGAACCAGGGCATTGGAAGTTTGATTGTCCTAAGCAGAAGATGCAGAAAAAGGACAAGATCGAGGATGCTCACGGTTCTGCAACTATGGCAGAAGCTGATGATACAAACTCTGAAGAAGATCTGGTTCTATTTGTCAATAACCAAACACATTGTAAGGATGTGTGGGTTCTTGATTCTGGGGCGTCGTATCATATTAGTCNGCATTGGAAGTTTGATTGTCCTAAGCAGAAGATGCAGAAAAAGGACAAGATCGAGGATGCTCACGGTTCTGCAACTATGGCAGAAGCTGATGATACAAACTCTGAAGAAGATCTGGTTCTATTTGTCAATAACCAAACACATTGTAAGGATGTGTGGGTTCTTGATTCTGGGGCGTCGTATCATATTAGTCTATATAGGGAGTTGTTTTCAACTTATGAGCAGATAAACGAGGGTGATGTTTCCATGGCCAACGGAGTTGTTTGCAAGGTAGTTGGAATAGGCTCCATCAGGTTGAGGACTCATGATGATGCATTTTGCACCTTGAATAAAGTTAGGCATGTTCCACAGATGACGAAGAATCTGATATCCTTGACTCGTCTTGACAGTAGGGGTTTCAGTTTCGAAGGTAAAGGTGGAGTTATGAGTGTCTACAAGGATTCGAAGGTGGTTCTGAAAGGTATTAAACATGGTACCTTATATCTTCTACAGGGATCTGTCATTGTTGCATCTGACATTCATAGAGGTGATGAAAGTCTTAATGTTAAGGTGGAGGTCCCATCTGCACGGATTGAGACTGTTGATTACCTAGAAGAATCATCTGTTTCTACGCCTCAATGAGGCAATTTGCGCCCCGGGAGGGGGCGATTTGGGCCCGTATGGGGCAATATGGGCTTCAAGAGGAGTAATCTGGACACTAGGTTGGTGTCATCTGTTTCTGTTCAGGTTCCATGAAGAGTCATCTGGACTCAATGTGGAGTTTGCATCTGTTGGTGTTTTAGCTTGAGTAATCTGTTCCCCATGCGCAAGGGAAATATGCTTTGGTGTTTCACAACACTTCTGAACTCAAGTGAAACAATCTGTTCCTGTCTTTTAGTGACATTTGTGTCTTTTGGTTGGACTTCTGGTACCTATGGTACATTTGGTCACTTCAGGAAGGAAATCTGGTACATCTGCGGGTTTTTTTTGAGGAGTGAGGAGAATCCAGGTGAAGAAAGTAGGAACTGCTGATATGTTCACAAAGTCGGTTCCGCAAAGCAAGTTTCAACAATGTTTGGACTTGCTTAACATCAGAAGCTGTTAGTTGCCCTGTGGGGCAATTCTGAGGAAGAAGGGGAGATCTGGCACAACCATGGTGCATCTGAAGAATCTGTATGGAGAATTCAAGTCAAGGTGAAGATTTGTTGTAATGCCTTGAATCTGATCCGTTACAGCTCCAGATCCGGAGAAGTCCAACTTCGGAGAAATCCGGATCCGGAGAAGTCTGGCTTCTGAGAAATCCGAATTCCGGAGAAGTCGAGAAATCCGAATTCCGAGAAATCCGAATCTTGAGAGATCCGAACCCTACTCTAATTGGGCTTTCTAATTATCTGTTAATTCTGTAGTTTGGGGCCCAAGTCTGTTAGGGTTTAGCTAAGCACTATATATATGGGTGCTACCACAAACCCTATATGGGGTATTCTGTATTCTGTTCTTGCCTCTCCAATCAGAAATAAAACTGCTCTCCCTCTTCCCCGTGGACTAGCCAACACAACGTTGGTGAACCACGTTAAATCTGTTGTCGTGTTTTTCTCGTTTATACTTTGTTATTCTCAATTTCCGCACAACAGTTCAATTTCACTCAGTCGGTTTGATTGAGTTTCACTCGTATCGTTTTCACTATATGGGGTGCGTTTATTATATTGCAGCAATGGCGACCCCGGCCCCTTGGTTGGTAGATTCCAACCGCTAGAGGCCGAGGCGATGTGCGTTCGAGGGGCGTTGAGCTCGCTTAAGGAGTTGGAGCTAAACAATAATGTGGATGGATGTCGAGAGAAATGTGTTAGAATTTCAACTTTCTTTTTCGTCTTTTGGTTTTATCATTTCTTATACTCCCTCCGTCCCTGAAAACTTTTCTCCTTTCTTTTTTCATCCGTCTCATTTCTATTAAAAAGTCACTTTTACCTCTTACTTTTTCATACCCTACCTATCACATTCATACCTTTTTACTAATAATTTATCAATCAAATCATACTTTTACCTATCACACCAAATGATATTTTGGAAATTCAATACCAAAATACACTCCCCTTAAATCCCTCTTCAAAATCAAAACTCCCATGTTTAATTTCCGGGACGGAGGGAGTATAACAGAAGCTATAAATGGCTTTAAATTAATCGCTTGAGCTTCAATTTTGTTAGGAGATGCGTGAATTATGATGCTCACCTAGTGGCTCGGGAAGTTAGTTCTATGTCTGATCTAGTGGAATGGGATGTCATTCCACCTTCTTTTCTTGTTGACACTATTTCTGCTGAGATCAGATGATGAGTGAGTTTTCTTTGTTAAAATATACTCCCTCTGTCCACCATAGGTCTTCCCAGACACTATTCACAGGGTCAAATTTTACTCACTTTGTTTGCTCAATTTTACTAATCATTTCATAAAATAATATAGTCTTGTCACCTCTAGTTTTGTAGAACTTTTCATGTAGTTTATTACTATATAAATTTTATTTTAAAATTTTACTCCTATAATCAATTAAATTGAATTGAAAATAAAGTCGGTCAAGTCTCGTAACGCGTAATGGGAAGATCTTACATGGACGGAGAGAGTAATACGGAGTAATATTTCATGTAACTCAACGGGGAGGGGGACAGAATTGAATCTGATTGTTCAGATGCTCCGGGTATAAAAATCAATTTGGCCAATATAATACTCCCTCCGTCCCATGAAACATGAGACTTTTACCTTTTAGGAAAGATTTAAGGGGAGTGTATTTTGGTATTGAATTTTCAAAAATGTCCTTTGATGTGATGGGTAAAAGTATGATTTGATGGATAGATTATTAGTAAAAAGGTATGATGTGATAGTTAGGGTATGAAAAAGTAAGGGGTAAAAGTGACTTTTTAATAGAAATGAGAAGTGTTTTGTGGAACAGATAAAAAAAGAAAGGAGAAAGGTTTCATGGGACGGAGGGAGTACTAATATATGTATTAAAAATAACTTTAAGTTATATATAAACAGAACACAATAATAATCCTCACAACCACATTTGATAATGATCAAAAGTCCTACATTAAAAAATAATTAATGACTAATTGATAATGATTCTATATTGAGAAAGTCATTATATTTTAGTTTTATTTAGTTAATTTCTCAAACAAAAAAAATGGTCACAATGAACGCCAAACAACCAACAAAACCGTGCCACACTTGACTAGGAAGGTCATTCCCAAAATTTTAGGAGTAATAAATGAGAAATTGATGGTTAATTATCTCTGAAAGAAGTAAATAGCACTAAAACATAATGACTTTCTCTAAATAGCACTACATGTGTTTTTTTCCAATGTAGCACTTTTAGTCATTATCCTTTAGTCATTTTTCAAGTAAATATTTGTCATCACTGGTCATTATGAACATTATTAAGTGCTTTTTAGGAAATAAAACAATTTAAGTGCTATTTAGAGAAATGACTTAAGTTTTAGTGCTATTTAGTGCAAATATTTCTAAAACAAAATACTCCGTATTAACAAAAAAGAGGAATAAACCGCAAGTGGGATTCATACAAGGGTAAGTTTGGAAGTAAAAAATAAAAAAAGTTTATATAAAGAAAAAATCATCCTTAATTCTATTTTTGAAAAAAATAATACTTGCTCTATGCCATATCATTCTCCCTTTTTGACTTTTTACTAATGCAACACTTTCACTATATAAAACAATTCAATATATATCAAAATGAATTTATGATCCATATATTTTTTTCCCTAATTTGTGATCAAATAAAAAAAAAGTTAACATCCAAAGTCAAAAAGAAAAAAAGAAATAAGAGGGAAAGAGTACTATTTTGGAGTCTTAGGAAAAATTTTACAAGAAAAAAAACATTATATTGCCACGGGGATTAGATCAAATTAGATTAGAGACCGGGCCTGTAAGGCACACCGGCAAAGGGCAACCAAGAGTTGCCGTCAATGAACACGGCGACGGTGAACGGCAAAACTTCCCTCGGCGTAGTGAGCTGGTGGAACCCACGCCACCTCACTCTCCCCGCCGTCCCGGCACCGGGCCCCTTGTTCCCATACTCCGCATAGTACACCCTGCTCGTCAAAGAAGGATGCCGGCCGTCCCACCACGCCCACCCTGCCGGATTTATGAAAGAATCGATCGTCGTCTCGATGAAAACAGTGCGCGACTGCGTCCCCCACGGCCTCCCCAAGTACCCCTCCGTCCCCCTCAGGTCCTCCGCCGGATCCGTCGTCACCCACGACCTCTGTATCACGATCCCCGTGTCCTCCGTGGGCCCCTCGCGCTTCGACGCCGTGATCATAACCGCCCCGTGGATTCCCGGGTTCCTCGCGTAGATGTTGCAGTCCTGGAAGACGGCTTTGCCGTTCCCAAAGATGAAATCGATCGTGCCGTAGATGTCGCAGTTTTTGTAGAACTGTCGCCCTTCGAAGAGGTAGAGCGTGTCTTGGTAGCCTTCGATGGAGCACTCGTAGAACGCTGCTTGATCCGCCCTTACCCGAACGGCCACGGCTGGTCCGCTGTCTCGACCAGCGGTGTTCCGGAATGTTATGCCCCAAGCTACAAGTCCAATGGCATCAACAGCTGCATGTAGCATGTGGATGTGTTAGGACTAAAACATAAGTCATTTTCCATGTAAGAGTTAAATATTTTTATTCTGTCAAAGGAACCAACTCAACCACATGCTCAAGCTTGTGGTTGTGGCCCAGGAACAAATATTTATATTCTAACGCGCCCCCTCACATGTAGGCGTAGTCTTTTTTTAGCCTTGCACGTGAAACTTTAAATTTTTTTAAAATTGGGTGGCGCTGAATTTCGAACCCGTGACCTCTTAATCAACGAGGCTCCGATACTTTGTCAAATGAACGAACTCAATCACAAACTCAAACTTATGGTTGTTGCCCACGAACAATTATTTATATTCTAACATATTCCCTAAATAGGACTTAATAATGAAAATGATGTTGGACATTTATTTGAATAATGACTACTACCTCCGTCTCAGAGTATTTTTCCACTTTCATTTTTACACACCATCCAATACACTTCTTTAATCCATTTTATCTTGTAATTTGTATATTAAAAAATTATAGAAATTATATATTAATAATTTAGATCACACATGACTATATTTTAGGCTTACACATTGAGAAAATTTGATGAGTCAAAGTGCTTAGATAAACAGTTTCAAAAGTCAAAAGTGAACAAAAACTGGAGGACGGAAGGAGTATTAGATAATGAAACAAAAAGTCTTTTACCCACTTGAGCACTTACCAAAGGTTGCAGTGTCAAACGTCGATCCGCCAAAGCTATAAAGGCTCCGTTGGCCGGTGATTATAGTCACGCCCTTTCCCTCTCCGACCAGAGTGAGGTGAGGGAGAAGAGAGTCGATCACGACGTTCTCATTGTAAACTCCGGCCATTATTTTAATAACAAACCTCCGGCGCCAATCCCTCGTTTGGGCCGCAATGGCGATGGCCTGCTTTATGGTCCGGATGTTTCCGGGTCCACTCCCAACCACAAGGTTCGCCGGTGGCGGCACGTAGTCTGCAGCCACTTGGGGCGGCGGCGGAATAGCAAATAATGATACGGTGAGGAACAAGAAAACCCCAAGCTCATGCAAGCTGCTGCAGATCTTGGCATGGAAACAGCGGAGTTTGGCATGCATTTTGTTTTTTTACCTTTAATTTGCTTTCACTTAACTTATATTCACGTCAAAGTGAGATTAATTTAAGATATACCAAGTGTGTATATATATAGGGCGGGTCTTTGTTTGGACACCACAGAAAAGGCAGCCATGCGGTATATGATGAGGTTATTAACTGAATGTTCGATATCACTGGACATTATTGTTTTTTTAAATATTATTAAATGTTATTTAAAATAAAATAATTTAAATATTATTTAAGGAAATGATTTAAGTTTTAAAAGTTTAAATATTATAATTTATTACTCCCTCCGTCCCACTGTTTTTGTCTACTTTCATTTTTGCACACCATCCAATGCACTTCTTTAATCCATTTTATCTTGTAATTTATATATTAAAAAATTATAAAAATTATATATTAATAATCTATATGTTAAGACAAATCAAACAAGATCACACATGACTATTTTTAGACTTACACATTGAGAGAATTTGATGAGTCAAAGTGCTTAGATGAACAGTTCCAAAAGTCAAAACTGGACAAAAAGAGTGAGACGGAGGTAATAAATGTTACTCCCTCCGTCCTAAAACTTTCTTCCCAGAGCACTATTCCAACTTCATGGGAATTTATATTTATTTGTGTTTTTTCATGGCCTATATGATAAAATAAAATATTCTTGTCACCACTTGTTTTGTTGAACTTTTGATGTAGTTTTTAAATATGTATGTTTTATTTTTTATTTCTATACCAATATTTAAATAAAATAGATTAAAAAATCTTGAGATTTTTCTTCGTTTTGCGAACCGGAAAGAAAGATATAGGACGGAGGGAGTATTTGCAAATATTTTTAAAAGTTTTTGTCCAAAGTCCAAATGTCCTAACCCCACGCTAGCTGTCACATTTTTTTCCTTCTGTATGTCTTCTTTTTTCGGCAGATGAATTCTTGATAACGGCCCAACACCGTCGTTATTTTTAAGTCTACATTTCTTGAATTTTTGATAACGGTCCAATGCTCTCATGACTTTTTTTTAATAACTTGTCCAACCACGCGTTTCTTTGGGTCCTTGATCATGGTCCAACACTGTTGTTTCAATTTGTTTTATTGAAATATTAATATTGAAATAAAAAATAAAATTTATATATTTAAAAATTACATCAAAAGATCAACAAAACAAGCGGTGACAAAAATATTTTATTTTATCACATAGGTCATGAAAAAAGGTAAATAAATAAAAATTCTCAGAAATTTGGAATAGTGCGCTGCAAAGAAATATATACGACGGAGGGAGAAATAACAACTTAGATATATTAAATATTTTTATTGGAATCAGATCAAAAACAAATTTGAATATAATTATATTCAGATCAAATCAAATTGAAACTTATTTTCCATCAAATCAGAATCATTTAGATCAATTGTCGAGAGAGAATAAGACCGAAATGAGAAATTATGGTGCCTAGTTCGAAGCAGTGATGATGAAGCTAGATTTAGTCTTCCACACCAATTAGTCTAATCCATTCATTCCTTAGCCATTAAATTAGACAAATTCTTTTGTGATCCCTAGTTATAGTAGGCTTGAACATGCTCATTTCATGAATCTTAATATATAAAATCATTATACATATTATGTTTTTTAAAAAGAAATAAATTCAATCATAAAATCATTGAAAATATGTGAGAAAGTTTATATTTTTTATACAAATCTTAAGACAACAATAGTACAAGTCAGATAAATTATTGATTCATTTTTACATTTGGGTCCATTTGTTTTCATATGGAGTAATATGACCCAACAAATCTTAACCTTTAATGTATCACTTTCATTTCCCGGTCTCTCTACATGGTTTTTTTAGCTGAGAGGTACCCTAAGTCCCTAACTTTGATAATTGTAAGAAAAGAAACATTTCATTTTCAGTTCTTAATAAAAGTATATTTGTAACAAAATCATACCTCCTCCCAGAATTTGATAAATTAGGCAATCCACCTGGTTCTTCCCATCTTATTTGTAATATATTGAGCATTCCGCCTCTAAGTACTTCGTCTATCCACCAAAGATTTTCTCGTTACGTGTCACAGACAGAGTTTGACCGACTTTATTTGAAATTTAATTTATATGATTGTAGGGATAAAATTTAAAAATAAAATTTACATAATAATAATGTATATAAAAAAATTTCAAAACTAGCAATGACAAGACTATATTATTTATGAAATGAGTATTAAAAATAAGCAAATAAATTGATTTAAGTTTAACTTTGTAAATAGTGTTTACAAAGATTTATGAGAGAGAAAGTGAGTATTTTTTTTTCAATTTTACACTACCCAAAAGAAAGACTTACAAATCGTTTACTCATTCAAAGCTATAGATTAACCAAACTTTTATTGATTCCGTCCCTTTTCAATCATTTTCCTTTTTATTCTCTTAATTTTTTAAAAAGGGAATCATGCAACTATTATTTCTTTGAAAATGCCACTAACCTTTTCAAAAACATATCATTCCTTTTTATATTGTTTGTTTAGGTCAATAATGTCACTCCAATACAAATATATGTATGAAAAAATAGCTCTAAGTTATATATAAATAGAACACAATTATAATCCCTAGATGCTAAATCACAACCCCGCAGTAAACGGCACGCCGGTAGAAGGCAACCAAGTCTCTCCGGCGATAAGGTTCGACACCGTAAAATTTGAAGCGACCTCGGAGTCCGTAATAACATGGTACCCAGGCCACTTCACCCGTAGCGCGGTGGTGGCTCCGGGCCCACTATTCATGTACTCGCCGTAGTACAACGTGGTCAAAGCGAAATCCGAGTTTCGCCAGCGTAACCAACCTTGTGGGTTCACATGATCATCTATGTAGCTCTTTAGGACAACTGTCCTAGAGTGCCTCTGCCACGGTCGTCCTAGATAAGTCTGGTACGACCGTGCCACAGGCCGAAGGTCTGGGCCCGCCGTAATGCGGCAATTGTGGATGGAAATCCCCGTGTTCTGGTAGGGGTCTGCCCGGCCTTGGGCGGTGACGACGTTGATTTGGCCCCACAGAGGCTTCCGAACGTAGAACGTGCAGTCTTGCAGCACCGCCGCCGCGTTGCCGAAGACGAAGTCGACTGTGCCGTAGATTTGACATGATTTGTAGAACTGACGTTGGGCGAGCACGAAGAGAGTGTCTTGGTAGCCCTCGAAGCTGCATTCGTAGAAGACGGAGAGATCGGAGGCGGAGCGGAGAGCCACCGCCTGCCCTCTTTGTGGCCCCGCCGTGTTCTGGAATGTGATGCCACGGGCCATGAATTGTGGACCATCCACACCTGGTCAACAATATATTCTTTCAGTTTTTTGAACTTTTTTTTGAGATGGAAAAACCACAGTAAAAAAATAACACATAAAAAATTATATTTAAAGACATCGAAAACTCTATAAAATAAAAGGTGACAAGAATATTTTATTTTATCTAATTATCGATAAAAACACGTAAATAAATAAGAGTTATCGAGAGATCGTAATAGTAAGCAGGAAAAACTTTTTGGGACGGAGGGAGTATTAATTACTATCTCCGTCCCTGAGTATTTGTACAGTTTTTGACTTTTTTCTGTCAACCTTTTTCAACCTTTGACTTATAACTAAATAAAGTATACTCCGTATATTGTATATTAATTAGATAAAATAATATTTTTAAAATGTTTGATATAATTAATCTAATAAAAAAAATTTGTATCAATATCTAACACTATTTTTATTTAATTTAAGGTCAATGTTTACTAATTTTGACAAAAAAAATTAAAAGTGGACAAATACTCAGAACGCAGGGAGTACTACATGAGTGTGTGTGTATATATATGTGTGTGTGTGTATGTATGTATATATTTATACTCCAGTATATATTTATGGGCCGGGAATTGACATAAATAAGAGTAATTAAACATGACTTTTCTCAATGTATGACCATATGTTATTATTTTCAAAGATCGATGATTATTATTCATTAGTCATTATTCAAGTAAATATCCATCATTACTAGACATTATTTCTCTCACTAGACATATTTAATTCTTACTTAGGGAATAAAAAAGTTTAAGTGGTGCATTGAGAGATGACTTATATTCTAGATTTTTAATCCTATTTATTGCAAATTTTTCTATATATATTCATACCAAAGGTTGCGCTACTGTAAGTGGTGTAGCCGCCGCCGACGCTCCGTTCTCCGGTGATAATGGTTTCGTTGTAACCATCGCCGACGAGCGTGATCCTACTCATCCAAGTGCTTATCACCACGTTCTCCTTGTAGACACCTTTCTTGATATAGATAACCACCCTTCTATTGCCCTTTCTTTTCGACATCGTCGTCGTTGCGTGATCTATAGCATCCTGTACGGACCGGAAGTGACCCGTTCCGTTCTTGGACACTATAGAATCTGCCCCAGATTCCAACGACGGCGTCGAACTTTGTAACAACCGGCGCTCACCGGGCGTTACCCAACTTGGGAATTTGTCCCCAATGGTAGTGGTGGTGGTGGTGGTAATGGAAGAAGATTGGCGGTGTTCGTCCATCAGAGCCCCGTTAACCGCCAAGCTATTGCTGATAAGCTCGGAGATGTTTTGGGAGACGATGGGCCCCACAACATCGTATGAGACGTTGACTTCAGCACAACCAGACCGACACGTTTCAATGTTGGTCAAGGCTGTGCTAAGCCACGTTTGGGTGTCGGAGTAGGCACGAAATGTTGACGGGGAGTCGGACCGAAAGCTTTCGAGGGTGCGGTTCAATTGGAGAACCGTGATCTCGATGAGCTTATGGCAATCCATCTGAACCATGTTATCGAACCTACCAATGGAGCGATCGGCTCGGACGTCGTCTAGTATCCTTGCCGCGGTTTGTTGCGTTTCTAGAGCTCTCTCTAGGGCAACTCGGACTGCCATGTCCCGAAACTTGAACCGGCATTTCGGCTTAAAGTTGTGGCCGAACCGACCCGTCATGTGGTGGCTGCATGTCTCCGGGTGAGTGGTGGTGGAGCACCACCAGTGAATATCACGGTCTCCTCCTTGCACAGCTGCCGCTGCCTCATAAATTTTGTCGGAGGGAG